TCCTCATTCAGTCTCCTGTCAGAAATAAAATCCTCCTTTTTCAATTTAGCCTTCATAACTTGCAACAAAATAATATGAACTTTCATTTCAGCTCTCTTGCAAACTTCCAAATTTGACCCAAGTCTTGCCACTTGATACACAGTCTGGATTCAAATCCACCTTGAAACAAAGCACACAGCTACATTCCAGACATCTCTCAGATTAATTGCTGGACTCCCTCATCCAACATGGCTATGAAATTCTTCATCTACCTTCCCTCATAGGCTTTCCTAGGACCACGACCACATAAAAGAATTTCTCGGTCTCACTTTCAATTAAGGTCTGCACAATTCCACTCTAGCTAAGAGTATTTCTCTCCCCTCCCTATGCTATTATTCACAGTGGTTAGACTCCCTCCCACACAGAACAGCCTTTCAATTACAACCCCTACCCTCTTCTAAATCTTCTATCCTCACTTTCTCTCTAGAATCTATGAACATCACTTAAAGTGAACTACATTTTCTCTCTGACATTCAGCAGAGGAGCCTGAAGTTTAAAATTTTGACCACTACCTTTGTCTGTTTTATGAAGTGTATCACATGCTCGTATCATTCAGGTCCTCAGGGACAGTCACAGTGACCGTCTTGTGATTGAACTCTGTGATGCTCTGTAACATCTAGCATAAAACATAATAAACAACAGAAACTGCAAATCCTCTCAGGTCTAGGCAGATCATATATATTTGACAGGGCTAGTATGGATAACTGTTGAAATAAAAACAAGGCATCTTAATCAATAAGGAAAAAATAGTTCAACTATCATTACGAGGTGGAGAAATAAATACCAATTTGCAAACTTTTCAACATGAGGTTGCTTCTGTAGAACCCCACAAAACCAGGGACATATAACAGAAAACTACAATTTGGCAAGGTGACTTTTTTTGCTTGACAAATGTAAGATATTGTGCAATTCTAAAAATCCATCCTTCTAAGTAAAATACATCACTTGCCAAAGTCATGCTGGATCACATACAAACTATCCTCATGAGATCAACACTCAGCAATAACTCGTACTTTCTAGTCAGTTTACTTGTGTAATTTTGACTAGAGAGATACTTCCATACTATTCAGTTCCATATAATGATCTTATTGAAATATATTTGTTCTATAAATCAACACAACATATTCACCACCGTGTCAGAAGGTTAGAGTTTTAGATTACTTCCCCATTCAAAAAGGATGTTTCTGATGGGTTTCAACAGGAATCATCTTCAAAGGTATTTAAGATTTTTCAGTTATCAAGAATAAAATATAAGATCATTGATGGTTTAATGAAAATAACGATGGTAGAGTGATAAACAATGAAGACAAGTCACATCTATAGGTGAATCCAACCCTTCTGTAAACCAGTCCCATTCAGACATCATTATACTTACAGGATGGAAGACTACATCCTGGAAGAGCAGCAGTTCTGAAAAGGACTTAGGAATCATGATGGATAATCAACTAAATTTACAATCTTTTAATGCAAATAACTGAGACTGAAAGATTTAAAAATGCAATCCTTGGAGGTATAAACAAACAAGCGAAGATATAAACTGAAAGGTTCAAGAATGTACCTGCACATACTAGACGCACACAGCAATACTGAAATTACTACCAGATGCTGTATGCAGTTCTTATGTCCACACTTTAGAATGGATTTTAGAACATCTGATGTTTCAGAAGAGCCGTAAAAGCTTTACAGTTAGAGATTTAAGGAACTCCATTAATATAGGTTATCAAAGTTAACATATTTTTATGTGAATAAAGTGAAATAGTTTAAAACTAGAGTAGTTATTTGTTATTCTAATAGGCAGCTAGCTAGCTGATGGCCAGCAGCTCTAACTAAACAGTCCTAAAATTGAAGAAGGACTAGGAGTATGGAAAATAAACTAGCTGAATCACTCAAGAGACACGGAAAAATCCTCACACCTGAAGAATCTATATGAAAATCAACTATCTTTATCAAAAGTATGTTCTACTGCACCCAAAAGATACGGACTTCATGATGCAGAAATAACTAGATTGAATTCTAGGGATAATGGCATGCCAGCCAGATTATATCATTACCATGGTCACTTCTGGCCTTAAAAATCAGCTAGTCTGTAATAGGTAGAAAGCTGCAGTGCATATAAGAACATTCAAACTAACAGATGATAACATAAAGAACTCAAACTACAAGTACAGTCCATCAGAATCAAGCAGAGCTGTGTTCATACATCAATGATTTGTATACCTTGCTGTTTCAATTAAAAACTCAAAATTATCTGTTATGCCTCCAACTTTACTTTCATATTTTTAAGTCTGTTTCAATGTATCTGATATTTACATTTATAGTATAATTATACCTACCATACCATGGCTTGGAGTAGGTTAATTGCATAGGAAGATTTACTATGTTTACATTTTTTCTTAAATTACTCTTTTTTTAAAAAGCACAGTAAAGAGTCTGAGGACAAATTATTCAACTGTTTATCATACATAAGACTGCATGACTATAATACAAAGGGCTTGTCTTTTCATTTAACGTTACAATATACACAGCAAGTCCGGACTAGATCTTACAATCTGAACACAGGTATTTAACCTTTTCCATGCTGTTTATGTTTACAATGCACAGAAGTCCTGTAACCAAACTGTGTAGTAAAGCACACAAAACTGGACTGTAACATAACACAGTATGCAGAAGCACTGGATTTTATGATTTCTTCTTTATGTAAATACTTTTAACTGCTTTATTTTTTGGTGCTTGCTCAGGTGTGGCAACCCGCGCACACAAAAATTACCCAGATTTCATATTACCCTTATATTCCTAGACAGCAGTAAGTACTGGATTCCTTTTTATATTGCTAAACTCAGCATCCTGTTTCTAAGGTGACAGCCTTCCAAATCCTGTAAATTTGTCTGAATTACTGAGTTTAAAAAAAAGAACAAAAAAGAAAAAAAAAAAAGAAAAAACCCAAACCACTTTCATCCTGATGTGATGGCTGATGTGTCAATACAAAAGAAATATGGATTGCTCAATTAAAAAAAAAAAAAGTCATGATTTATAAAAAATGGTAATCGCAAGTAGTCATTCCCATTTACATGGTAGTCAGCTGCTGCGTTGCCACTGTAACTATAAAAAAAAAAATCCCACCTTTTAGTCTGAAAAAGCCACATGGAATTGACCAGTATGAACTCTGAATTTTCTGCTGAATTACCTTTTAAAAGGGCTTACTGGCAGAGGTAGATCACTGCTTCTGTAATATATAATGGGCAAACACTGTTAATCTGGGATGGGCAATCAATGAATTACCCTTATTCTTTCAAATGTTTTTCATGGAGCTTTTACTTTTCATATAAAAAAATCTCTGAATGGGCCCATAAATTTTGCAACTGCCAAGCTGACTGTGTTATATTAAGGCAGCATTACCCAAAAATTAGGCACCTGTTAAATACAGCCTGCTAACCTCAGGTCTCATGTGAGTGTTTTGCTTTACTCAGACTATTATTTTGGACCTGTTCATGCAATCAAGGTCTTGCCTTCAAGTTTACAATTATGTTAATAAGGAATACAAGCATCAACTGCTGGTTTCATAGCTTCTGGATCTAGTGTCCCTTTTACCTTCAGAAGCCTGAACACATTTCTAATGTAACAGATGTTATAGTCTCGAAGTAGATGTCAATCTATTATGTTCAGTACACAGATTGCTGTAAATGTATTGGCTATGAATTCAACAACAGTTCCAGTTTTGTTTAAGCAATAGTACAGCCATAATTTTCAACTGACATTTAAAAATGGTCTAGTTACACCTTGTGTCAAAGTGCAGAACTGCTACATTATTGGTTACAGACATCTATGTGCTATAAAAACAGCTTTGGTACAATAAATTATCAAAAAAGAAAATAAATTTTTGTAAAATTCACAGCATAATTGTGAGGCAAAAAAGCAGTCACATAAAATTCTGCATTTTTAAAAATGTTCAGGATGAACAGAAGACGTCTTTGTGCAGAAGTAATGGTGGAGAAACCACGTGCCGAGAAAAAGCAAAAGAAAAAAGTAAAAAGCAGGAAGGGACACAGTTGTAGCTATTTCCATCAAACGCAAACCACTACTCCTGTGACCTTCAACCAATAAAGAAGTCAACTTTATGACACACGCAAAGTGACCTTGCAATACCTTACAATAAGTGGGTCACAAAAGTCTATTTAAAAGAAAGGCCTCTTGAATTACCCATTCTCTGTGTTTTCAGCATTAAGGACTGTCTGCAAAAGCATGTCCAAAAGTGATTGCATCTGAAATGGTAGGCTCTTCTAACTTAAGAGTCCAAATCCATAAGGCCAAAGGTTATCCCAAAGACCACCACTTAGACCTCCCCAGGACTGGCCAGGACCGACCCGTTGATTGCTTCTCAGTGCACCTCAGTTATGAAACCAGTCATATTTCAATACTAACTGACTGTGGTCTCCAAAATATGAGACCCACAGAATCCCATTACAATTGCTGCTTTGATCCTCAGTAGATTCAGAAAAGGAGAGTTCTGATCACCGCCACTTAGCATGCTTAATGTGCCTTACAAACTCCATTACAACCGTCCCTTTTTACAGCTGAAGAATATATATTTGTGTAATCTGAAGGTCCCTCTTTCTTACAGTACTGCATTTCTGTGCCCATGTTTGTTTGGGGAACTTAAAAAAAAAAAAAAAAAAAAAAAAAATTACTCACTCCCCTCCCACCCAAAAACTTCAAAGGGCCTTTTTATAAATCATGTGCAATGCCTTTAAAAAGAAACTAGTTTGCAACTACAGCTAACATTTGAACAATAACCCCTGTTGAATGAGACAAAAAAAAAACGCCCTCCCCCAAAAAAACAAACTATGACTAGGTTGTGGCAAGTTAAAATGGGGGAAGAAAAAGGTGAATACCGCTAAGCTATCCGTTAAGGTGGGTCCGGACATGGCTCTTAAAAAAACAAAAAAACCCCCAAAAAACCAAACAAACCCCCCCCCCCAAAACCAACAAAAAAACTTCATTGTCCCTTTGCAATCTTTTCAAGTTTAAAAAAATAGTCAGCTTTGCCCTCCTGTAGCGGTTCAGTGAGTTTATCTCCTTCTGATTCAAGCAGCTTTGCACTTTGTTTTTGGAAAAACACCACTTCTATAAAAACACACAAGAAACAAACTTAGTTTCAGTTTAGTCACGAGCTAGCCACAGGACTTTGCTGAACACAAACTCCTGTCATGGGAGACTCTTCTCTATCAATTCCTTGCCTCATTGCAAGGTGTCCTTCAGTCATGTAATGAGCAGGACCTGTATTAGCAGAAAACTGGTACGTTGGATGTCCAGCTATGCCAGTTTCTTGGCGCGGATTAGAGTAGACTGTTAAATTCATGTCCATAGCTCCATTTTGTCCGAAGTCCAAGGTATTAGCAGCCACTGGGCGGTTCTGATAGGCCTGATTGCCTTGGTTACCAGTAGAGGAGGAAGATGTAGAGGAAGAAGTAGTTGAGGAAGACAGGGATGTCATGGAGTGGTGACTGTGGCCCACCTCCATAGAATCCTGGGTGGAGGAGCTGTTTGTTGGAGAATTGTAGACCCTTGGCCTGGTCCGGCTACCCAAGGCTTGCTGTCCATGATGGTGGTGGTGGTGGTGGTGATGGTGGTGGTGGTGAGAGCTATTTCCGTGATGATGATGTAATGCATTCTGTTGTTGAGGGGTTACATGGAAGGTGGTTTCTTGAACCGGATGGTTTTCAACAGTGACCTGTGTAGGAGCTTCAGTGGCTGTCCAACCAATTGGAGGAGGAAACTGTTGTCGAACCTATGTTAATAAGCAAAATAAAAATTAAAATGCTGAATCAAATCTGCCCATTTGCAATATATGACAGATTAAGATATTAAAGGTCTATGCTAACTTTCTGAAAAGTTAAAACATTGCAGTTGCAAAATTATTCTAGAAATGTAAGCATGTAGCTAAGAAGCATTTCTAATACAGTTTTCTAAATATACCTTAAGAAAAATGAGTTCACATTCTGGATGTTTTTTGCAAACAGTTTAAGTCCAACATGTCACCTTACCGTCAAAATTATAGAAGCAGCTTTAGATAATAGTAGTAATAAACAACATAGTGTTTGCACAGCACCTAAAACAGTAAGGCCCTAATCTCTGACTCAGGCCTCTGGATACAATTAGCTTACTAAGCTAAATTAGAATGTTGTAGTTGGTATCTTGAACAGCGTCAACAGTATTAGAAGAGTACTGTCTATGCTGCTGGAAGAGCACAGCTGATTAAAGATTATTAAAATTGCAAGATTTAGCTAAACACCAATGTGTTGCATAAACTGTTACTTGGAGGAAGAAGTTTGTTTTCTGTCAGCTACAAAAAGCACATGTGATCATTTTTTCTTTTCTTGTGAGTGTAATGCTTGGAGGCTATTGCTTTACACCTGTAAAAGTGATTCTGCATCTGTAAAAGTGATGAATAGAAATGATAAATCACTATCATATTTCAGGTTTATTCTTCCAGGTATAAAACAACCTAACATACACTAATTCATATTTTTACCTGTTCTGTATTAGGATAAAAGCATTACTGAATTATTTGCAGTTAATAGATGAGTTGTTGCTTCTTTCCAGGAAGTATGGAATAAACAATAATTCAGCCAATGATAATGCTGGTGAAGTACCTGAACACCATAAAATGAATGGAAGAACTCCAGCAGGAGTCCACTGAAGTACAAGCTAGCTCTTCACTGGGTTGGAAGATGCATAGTTCTTTGTACCCTTACACCATGTCTAGGATGAAGCACTGACAACTCCACCTGACTTACTACTACCGATTCAAAACCTTCACCCCTGCAGAATCTATGGATATTTTTACAGCTACCTGCAGTACTTTCACCTAAGTGACTGACCTAACACACACAGGACTATACAAGAGCTGGAGATAAAAAATAAACCAAATCTGATGGCTAGTTCTATGTGCAAACCACTTCACTCCTGAAATGAAAGTGTTAATTAGTTTTAGGGAGTTAGTATTTTCAGAAAATTTGTATAAATCAAACAGACCAGAACTCTATTTAAGCGTACCTGTGGGCTGTGTGTTTCACAGTCCATAGCTTGAACAGCAGCAGTGAAGTGTCCACCACTATGTCGATGCTGGTGTGTGGGGTCTGACCGTGCCCTTCCACTGTTGCTTGTTCCAGAAGATCCACCTGTAAAATCATAACATGCACAATAACTAAAGAGACACAAAATTTACAGTAAGCTGTAAAACAGTGACAGCAAGAAAATATTTAAACCATTTCAAGGTAAGAACACAAGACCTGTGATAATCACACACATTTTTGCTCATCTACTTTTTTTTGTTGGAGCAGTTACCTGTTCCAGCTGATTAAAATAATTGTTTTGATGAGTATGACTGACATAGATTTTTTTTTTTTTTTTTTAAAGATGACACTTATCTGGGAAAGATTCCTTTGATGTGATTAGGAAATATAATTTTGTTATCTGTTAATGAGAAAAACTTACCTGAGCTTGAAGATGTACTAGAGGTGGTTCCTGAAGACTGCGACTGCTCCATGGCAGGACTTGTAGACACACTGTTACTTGTGTTTGTACCTTCGTCTGCTGTTTTCTTAAAGAAGCTATGCTGTAGGGCATAATAAGGTTGAATTCGTGTCTTAGGGTCATAATCAAGCATCCTTAAGATGAGGTCTTTGAACTTCAAGTAGTCAGCTACAGTATGACCCGATTCCCCAGCACGACGTCCACCTGGTCCTCCTGTTTCAACTCCTAGTATATTGTGAAGTTTACGAGTTCCGGGTGGTTTGTATTCCTGTTGGGAAGTTAGAAATTGCTTGAAATCAAGTTATATATTAAGCCTTGGGTGTGCACATTTTAAACATGCTGTCAGTCAGTCAAATAAAAGTAAGAAACTATTCAACACTACAAAAAGTGTTATTTAATCAACCTGTCTTACAATGTCTTACATGGAACAATAATAAAAACCAATAAAGCTACATCTTCAGTAACGCAGACGTAAAGCAAAATAACATCTCACCATTTTTATATACATTTTTTTAAAGTGACAGACCATATTCTCATCCTAGTTATGTAACCTACCCTTTTTCCATCTTTGGTCTTCTTCAAGTTCCAAGTGCCATCTGGCAACTTCTCAAAGAACTTTCTTGCTTTTGGTGCTTGGTCAAGGATGTGGGTAGGTGGTATCCCCAAAACTTCCACTATTTTATTCATTTGATCCACCTGTTCCAAATAAAGAATATTTGTGAAGAACATGTGGCAGACAGCTGAGCAATGTAATAGAGTGATATTCTGTAGTCACATGGTAAGCAAATGTTAACTATCCAGCCAAGTTCTAAATTAATTTTGAGTTTAAGAAAAATCCAGTATGTACAAAACAAATTAGTGAATAAGGAGTAAGTGGGGACCCAGAAAATTAACAGGCAATTCAAAGTTCTGACAAAAAACATTGCTGTCATTGACGTTTATTCATTTTAAAATTCCCTAATTTACTTCCCTAATTTACGCATTACAATTAAACAGATAAAAGTCATTATGAGAATGAAGAAAATAAAATAATCAAATTACTTGTACTGTAAAATAGCTGCATACCTCGTTTGCCCCACTAAAAAGAGGCTCTCCAGTGTGCATCTCAACTAAAATACACCCAAGGGACCACATATCAATTGCAAGATCATAAGGCATTCCCAGTAGCACCTCTGGTGATCGATAAAAACGACTCTGGATATACTGGTATATCTGAAATACAAGTATCTAAAGGTAATACACAGCATCCAAACAGCACTATTGTTATTCTGTATTACAAAACAGGAGTACCATGAAATGCATTTTTAG